TTTTTTTTTGCATATTGCATATAAATATTTAATACTTAAATAACTGACATATATGTATGTACATAATTGATTGAAGAAAGTTGCGTAATACGTACACTAACGCTCATCATCTCAGTCAAAAGGAGATTTAAAAACAAAATGCTAACTTCATATCACACTACTTAATTTCTTGACAGTGCTTAAGAAAAATATTCAAGTGAAGCTTGAAATGTAAGAGGTTCTCATTTCATTAAGTTAATAAATTAAAAAATATTGAAAAGTACTTACATTCAGTACTGCAGATCGGTTGATTTAGAATCAGTGACCAGAGAAATATGAAAATCTCTATCTGTGTGAATAATTTGTGCGCGCAAAATAAGAAGAAGGAAATAAAAGGGCATTTTTCTTTTCTCGTGCTGACTTCTTCTTCCAATTTGGCGCTGTAAACGCCTAAGCGATTTTGGCCGAGTTCAACAAAGCACGCCAGTCGTTTCTCGCCCGCTGACTATCCGTATTTTATTTCGAAGAGAGCCCGGTATACATATCTCAGCTGGAAGTTGAGAGCATAGAATAGAAAATTTGCCATGGATTAAGTTAGGTCACAGAGGTTAGCACTTTCCGTAAGAAATTTAGAGGCGCATATTCAGGTCAGAAGCCCCATGTAATACCTCTGCCGTGATTCCACCATTATACCATCTACTTCCCAATGTAATGGAACCACTTTGCTAATCATAAAGGGTATTCAGACTATCTTCGTTAACGTATTAATTCGTTATCTGGTAACTTGGTAACACTTTCACCTTCGAACGCCCCTTATTCTTTTTCTGGTTAAAATTACTTTCGAATGAGCTGACATGAAGTTCTTTTATTTATGCACATTTATTGATTCCACGACAGAAAGACTTGTTGAACTTTTGATAAAATGTAGGCACTTTTCGCGCAAGAAAATTCCAGCAAATAAGTGACAGAAAGGAATCAGCTGACATTTTAACGTGTGTGTTACCACATTATCATACTTGCCACCTCGTTATATTCGGTAATTTACAAAAATAAAACAATGTTGGGGGGTTACCGAATACCGCATTAAGACCTTAACGAATATAGTCTGAATACCCTTATAGAAAAATGCAGATGCTTTAAGGTTCTAAGTCCGCTATGCCTTCGAAAATCCAGTAAAAACACATATTGTGCTTTCCATGTTAGCCAATGCAGAAACGATCAAGGAGAACTACTCAGAAATTAATTCTATGCCAAATTAACCTGGTTACCTGACAAATGCTTCCCTGGCCCATCTTTGGTTGGGTTGTGCAATGAAAACTCGATGAATTGGGGGCTAGGAAATAATCTTGCTAGCTCGTCCGCGATGCAATTCCGCAGAATGTACTTGTAAGAGTAGACGTTGAGCATAATTTTGGAGGAGAGTTTTTAAGTCAGAGAGCAGATTACTATGTGTATACATACATACATACGTACATACCTATTGCATAATAGCTAAAAAGGTTTAACAGAGTTTCAAGACCTTTGGTGGGGGTAGAGTGAAAATCACGGCTGCTGTCCTCCATACTCTCTCTATTTTTCTCTTAGTCGCGGATTTCTACAACGTATAGGGGCATATTCTTGTTTTCGTACGGATCGAAAATCAGGAAATTTTCCTATAATTTTCTATACAAAAATTTCAAATTTTCGATTAGTTTTGACTTAGGTTTTTCAAAATCGATTTCAATTCAAAACTATTGGCACCGTATATACAAATATATCCCTATTTATCGGACGGGAACCAAAGAAAATTGTATGTAGACCTCGGGAAATGTTAGGTACCAAAATATATTCTTTGAGCGCGCTTTTTATTCACTTATTCCTGAGTTTTTTCAATGAAACCAAATGGGCAATTTAAGTCTCTTCATGTATGCTTCCTTAACTGCTATTGTTAATGGTTTCTCTTGGGTTCACTCACTTAGTTACCACTTTCCCAACGATCCCAAATTCGAAAATACCTCCGAAATTGTGTTCTCTTTTTTCTGACCATTTTATCTAACTGAAAGAAATATGGGAAATAGTTCATTTCACTTTGCTGCCATTTGAAGAGGATCAATCAGACCACAGTACACCATAGCGGATCTGTGCATTTATTTGCCAAATCAGAATTACAGCTGGTCCATGCCTCAAAGATTTCCTACCTATACCATTTTGCGAACACAAATTATAACACCACCCCTCACAATACATCGAATACGCTAAAGATTTCGTTTCGTTTGGCCCAACATTTGCACGGTTTTTTAAATTATTTTTATTTACTGTCTTAAATTTATTTTATGTTTGTTTTTAGTTAAATTTAAACTTACTTTCCAATTCAAATTCGTTTCGTATTGCATTGAGCTTGCCATGTTGTTATTAAATAAAAATCATCAGACAGCTATTAATTTTTTTCCTCTAAATTTTATTTAAAAAAAAAAATTAATTAAATGAAACAAAAAAAAAATATTTCCGTTCACAAAAAAAAAATCAAATACCGTACGTTACACACAGAAGGACATTCCGAGATAGTAGACTGTATGGGTAAGTTGCATGATAAACAACAACAACAAGATATTAAAACACAAAACTTCTGTTTGCGAGTTCATACATTTCTATAAACCGAACATAAAGCTTCTAAAGTTTAATGAAAGAGCGCTTTGAAAACATTTAAGCAAAACTACGGAGTATACAAAAGATAATTGTTTATTTACTTTAAACTTCTTGACTTCCCAAACTTGGCTATGCCGTTACAGTAGTAATTACGCCACCGTTTGAATGTAGTTTGTGTTTTTTTTTTTAATATTCCCCCAAAATCGAAAAAGCTTTAGTGAGTTGAGTGATTACAAAAAAAAAAAAAACGAAAATGGTTTCTTTCTGTTCTCGATATTAAATCTATAATTATTTCTCCTTTTAACTTTTTTGAACGATTTTGAATGCCTTGAATGCCTGCTTTCGTGTCACATTCTCAACCCTATAAGCCTATCAAACTAAAAGTTAATACTAAATTCATTTGTTAATATAATACACGCACACATCTACTACATATCTCGTTGTTCGAAATTCTCAAATCATTCGAATTCGAATACTCATTGAAAGCAAATTGATAAGCAGTACTCGCAATTGGCAAAATTTCGCTCATTCAAATGTTGTTTCTTCATGCGTCTCATTTCCCATATTCCTCCGTAATTTTGTATTTTTAGAGACATGCAATACATGTACATTTACATAAATACAGTAGAATTTCCTAAACAAGCACACAGACATACTCGTACCTATATTAAACTTATAGTTGATTCTTTTTCTATAATTTTTTATTTTTTATTTTTTTAATTTAATTGTACGTTTGTACACTTATTTTTTTATTTCTGAGTTCGTAAATTATTTTTTATTACATTCACACACTTTTCCTTAGCGATTATGGATCTACATACAGACAAAGCGATTCCACAGCCGACATTGAAATACACCATCGCACCGAGGCGGGAGATGAGCGTCCGAAAGAACAGTGAAGCTTGTAAATGCCGTCCCCCAAATTATTGCTTCACTCTAATTTCGTTTACTTATTTGCTCAAAAACGTTAATTGTAATGAAAAATTGTGTTTTTTAATTTAATATTTTGTTTTTGTACACTATTTAATTTACTGTGCTTATTTTAGTGTGTACTTATATATGTATTATTTAATGTTTTCGATATAACTTGTTTTTCATTTGCATTAAGTCTCGATATTATTCACCAGTAAAAGTATTTATTTTAAGAGCAAACAAATTTGTTTTTTATTTCCAATTGAAACTCGAGATGGTATGGAACAGAAAATATAAAATCAAATAAGATATATAAATTAAATAAAAACATAAAAAATAAGATAAAAAACTACATAAAATGAAAAAAACAAAATAAAACAAATAAAATATGATAAAATATGATAAAACAAAAGACGAAAGACAATAAAAAATAAATAAATAATTGAATAAAACTTAATAAAACCAGATAATACAAAATAAAATAAACCGAAATAAATTTATTAAATGAAATAAAATAGAGCAAATTTAAATTAAAAAATATATCATATAATGTAAATAAAATTATATAATAAAAGAATTTTAAAACATTAACACTATTGAATAAATAATATGGACTAAAGATTACCAAATTAAATTAAATTAAACAAGGTATGATATAATATAATAAAAAAAAAATTTAATAAAAAAACGAGTAAAATAAAACAAAATTAATTGCAGTAAAATAAAAAATTAAAAATAAAATAAAGTATAACGAAACAAAATAAATTAAATAACATAAAATATAATAAAATTCAAAACTAAGTATATAAAAAATAAATTAAATTAAATTAAAAAATTAAAAAACAATAAAATTAAGTAAAAATTATTAAAAATAAAAAAGCAGATGATATACAATAAAATAAAACGAAATACCTAAATTAATTAAATAAAAACATTTTATAAAAAACCAAATGAAATAAAATAGAAAAAGTTCAAATAACATAAACCAAAATACATAAAATAAAAAATAATATACTTTAATAAATAAAATGAAAAAACACGAAGCTAACATAAACGAAACATATATAATATAATAAAAAATAAATAAATTAAATCAAACAAACCCTAATAAAATAAAACAAAATTAAATGGAGTTAAATAAAAAATTATAAAAAATAAAATAATATAAAATGAAACTAAAAAACTAATCAAAATAATAGCGAAATAAATTTAAAAAAAGGAATACAATAAAAAATAAATGAAATTAATAAATATAATCAAATAAATTATAGTAAACTAGAGCAAAACGAAAGTCCTTGTGATATAATATTTACATATTTTAATCATATTTTGTTTTATAATATTTACATATTTTATTTGTTTAAAAAACCTATAAAGTATAGTATAATTTGTTTCACTAAATAAGTGAATAAGTATTTTTTCATTTTTTATTTTTTGTATTCTTCCTATTGCAAATATATCCTCCATCGGTGAAAGAAAAAGAAAACGCTTGTCTTTGTCTTGGCTATCCCATAAAGTAAACCGTATAGCGATTTTTAAAGAAAATGAAAAGAGACCTCTTAAAAGCAACTGGCAGATAATCAATAAACATAAATACAGCCGACACAAAATTGACTTCTTATACTAACACTTTCCAATTACACTTAGTGAAAATCATGCTACTACAAAATACAAAAACAAATAGCTATACGTAAAACCTTTAAAATAAACCAACACAACCCAACAGTCAAATAACAATAGACAGAACCGAATACATACATACATAACTTGAGACAAATCAAAATCAAAAGCAAAGCAATTACCATTAAACAATTTTACAAAATTTAAATTCAAAAAAAAAAAAATAAATATCCTATACACCTAAAACATAATCGTAGAGTGTGCGAATTTCAGGAGTATGCTAAACTGCACAAATAGCTCGGAGCCACAAAGTATGAATTCTGGCATCGAACATGCCGCGTTGATGGTATCTGAGGAAAAGACCCAACATGACTCACGTAAGAATCTAAACCAAGCCATTTTTCTAAATTGCCATTAGTTAATTTCCGTATTGTTTGTTGTCTTGTGTTTGTGTACACATTAACTTACAATCAAGAAACTAACCAAAGTACAAAAACAAAAAGAAATTAATTCCATTTTATACCTACACCCACCCGACTATATCCAATTAACTAATTGCCTACTTACAAACAAATATGTATACCAAAATATATACATACATTAAACTAATTCAAATACTTTCCAATGTGATGTTGTGCAGTATGTATTCATCTAACTGTAAATGTGTCACGTGTGCAATTACACAAATACTAACAAACACAGTTAAATTTTTAATTACCAAATCACCAAATTCATTAACTCACTTCAATAAAAAATTTTTAGATATCATTCACAATCGCTTCATATTTACTAACAACTACATACATACAAATGTATATTATACTACACTGAGAAAAGAGTTTAGTCAATGTCAACTAAATATGTACATATGTTTCTTTCAATGATTACATTATTCGGTTATAGTTATCTGCCCAGCCTTTTGTTGAGAGAAAAATATTTAGCTAACTATTTTCTCAGTGTAGAATATGTTATATGCTTTTCTTTACGTTTTAAACATTAGCGAGTATATACGCTACTTTTTCTGCATTGTATTTATTTATCATGAAAATTTGAGATTGAATTATCTAATATTTGTGTGATGTTTTCTTAAATTTATTATACGTATTGTATTTTCACACTCTCATTTATGAAAAAGAATACAATTTTTATTTGTTTAAAATTTGTAGTAATACTCGTAGATAGATATGTATATACATATGTATGTAGAAAGCCAATCTGAAAAAAATAAAGAATAGAAAATTGTATCTCCAAAAATCTTAAGAAAAGCTTTGTTGTAGAAAGCCAAGAGGAGAGGCAGAGAGGAATTTCTACCGAGTTCGTTCCTTGTTTTGATAGATATTTTTCCAAATGTAGTTTATAAATTTTCTAAGAACTTCTTCTTTTTTCTAATGAGAATCTCGTCAAAATCTTATAATAGATACGTATCCGAGATAGCTTGGTTAAACCAAAAACATTGTGTTTTAGAATGTTGGTGAACTGAATATAATTAATGAAGTGTCAAACGAAACGGCTTAAGTTCATACATAACAAAAATCTAATCCCAAACATTCTAGCAAGAATAAGAACATATCACAAATAAACAGAGACGAGTAAAATACGAAATTGATTGGCACTTTCTGACAACACAATGAGACATCATCGCCTCTCTCATCAAGACTAAACTGGCGAATTATATTTGCGGCCCACCATTTTGAGATCAATGCTCGAAACCAAGAATAATTAAAAAGGGGACCCAAGGGGTGACGTCTTCTGCCGTCCAAATTCTATATATTGGATCTCTATCAGCCATCAGAGAGAATTCCATTGATCTCATATGCTGACGACTGCTAGTAGATTTTAGAGCTCAACCAGCCACCGACGTAAGATCGTAGAATCACCACCGCATGACAGTGACATTGCCGTTTCTTCTCTCTCTCTCTCTCTCTCTCTGCCTAGTATCAGCAGCAATTAGCTACGTTTATACGGACGGCAGGTACAGAAGAGCACTCCTTTGGTGGCTGGTTGAACCAGAAGTGAAAGAAGCTACAGACCTGTTTAAATTCCGCACTCCCAACTTCAACGGGATGACTTCTGAGATAGCCTTGTTTCAAATAATTTTTAATGCCACACCACAAACTTTCCTCATTGGCTTTCCATACATATCTACAAACTATCAATCTGCGTGCATATTGTAGAATGTATTGTGTTGTATGTAGTGGTTTTAAAAAAGTAGAAATGTATAGGTACATACTTACTTTCATTTAAGTTTATTAAAAGACATGTGGATAAATATGTAAACATTTACTAATTTTTAATATTTTTTATTTATTTGAAAATTTGCCATTTTTCATTTATGGTATAAATGCATGATAACTTGGATCTTTTTATTTGTATTGAAAAATCGCAAATAAACTTAAAATTCAAAAATCATTCACTGGACGAACAACGTTGATTTTGCTCAAAAATATGGCTTGAATCATTTCAACTCGAATCAACACAAAATTTAAAAAATTTCATTGTTACACCAATCGAAATTCAATTAAAAAATCGAACATCAATGAATCTTGTATGGGCTACATACACACCAACATTCAAACAAACGTGAAAATTTAAACTGAATTGAAAATGGAAATTACACAAAACCAAAAATTTGGCACTCCAACAACCTCCAAACCAACAAAATTTGCAATGAATTTTTATGAAAAACAAAAAACAAAAACTAACTAAAAAGTGTTTGGAACCACTTCGTTTTCATTAACGGTTGAAGGTATGGGTCCATATCCGCTCAGTGATAGCACAAATCTCCTGGGTCCGACAACGAGTCTGGCCGGCAGTACGACGTGTTACACCAACTATGGCACGAACATTCACACGCCAGTGCCGGTGCGCAAGTGTCACTACGACTACACGTACGATCGCGACAGTTTTCGACGGCATTCGGCGCACGGCAGGATGTCAGGTAGCGTTAAGTGTTAAGTTGCAGTTGCTGTAACTTTACAACTAAGTAACAAACAACAACAACAAACGCAACACAATTACAACAAATACTGGTGTCACTGCAAAATGAAAAGATTTGAACTCCAGCAGCAGCAAAGAAGTCCCAATGCACACCACACAAAAGAGCACACACACACACTAAAACAGAGTCACATACACACACATACATACATATGTACATATACAGTCATACACGCATACAGTACCTTGCAAAGAACTAGAAACACGTTACCCAANTACACCAACTATGGCACGAACATTCACACGCCAGTGCCGGTGCGCAAGTGTCACTACGACTACACGTACGATCGCGACAGTTTTCGACGGCATTCGGCGCACGGCAGGATGTCAGGTAGCGTTAAGTTAAGTTGCAGTTGCTGTAACTTTACAACTAAGTAACAAACAACAACAACAAACGCAACACAATTACAAATACTAGTATCACTGCAAAATGAAAAGATTTGAACTCCAGCAGCAGCAAAGAAGTCCCAATGCACACAAAAGAGCACACACACACACTAAAACAGAGACACATACACACACACATACATACATATGTACATATACAGTCATACACGCATACAGTACCTTGCAAAGAACTAGAAACACGTTACCCAAAAACTGAGATTTTTATTTATTTTTTTTTTATTCCACAAACCATCTCTGCCGAGGACCATCACTTCAGCATTTTCTACAATTAAAAGCCATTAGGAATATTCGCACTGCAGTCATTGCATTGGCGTCTAAGTAGGTTGATGCTTTCTCCATACTCAAAGCGGGAAGAGCATACCTATATCATATATCGAACCTTAGAATAACTAATTAGCTTTCTTAGCAGGGAGACCTATCTCAAGGTCAAGCCAATATGCGAAAATGAGCATGCATATGATGTAGGAAAATCTACAATTACAGCAATGCATAGTCTATCTGAAGTTATTGAAAAGGTATTGAAATACAAGCAGACATCCCTGTGGGCATTTCTTGATATATCAGATTCTTTTGACAATTTGTCCATGGAAATGACACGGAAGGATATCAATAATCTAATAACCGACTGGTTTTACGGCATGTGGGAATGTAGATGGCCTTGTCATCTACGTTGTAGGCTGACATGAGAAGACAATATGCTCCAGACCGAAAGGCAAAAAGAAGTTAGGTCAACTTGACCAAAAAATAAATTGGTAAGTGCGAAGATTGAGTTCACACAAGAGACGAAATATCACGGGTTGACACACTCGCGCTAATCTGGAAGCCAAAAAAAAACCAGTAAGCTCGGGCGTCACTCTGGACTCTACCACTCCGTGCACTTGTCGCAAAATTAAACTAGTTGGAGTCCTCTAGGGGCTTTATAAATGATTTATTTATCAAGCTCTGCAAAGTTGTCACTTTTGAAAGGGACTCTTGTAAAGCGGTAAGCACAACTGGCTGGCATAATTGGACTTAGGTTTCAGGAGGAGATTTTCGCAATTGAAATCTGTGTCCGTGAATGTCTTCGTAGAAGAACTAATACAGCCACTCAGTATAGGCATCACGTCGAACAGCCACACACTTTGGACTAATATAAAAGTATGTTAAGACTAGTAGGCAGTTGCAAAACAAGGTGACAACGTGGTGGGTTTTAGGTCCAGGGGGCCTTGATGGAAATAAAAGGGCTANAGGACCATCACTTCAGCATTTTCTACAATTAAAAGCCATTAGGAATATTCACACTGCAGTCATTGCATTGGCGTCTAAGTAGGTTGATGCTTTCTCCATACTCAAAGCGGGAAGAGCATACCTTCGTCATATATCGAACCTTAGAATAACTAATTAGCTTTCTTAGCAGGGAGACCTATCTCAGGGTCAAGCCAATATGCGAAAATTAGCATGCATACGATGTAGGAAAATCTACAATTACAGCAATGCATAGTCTGTCTGAAGTTATTGAAAAGGTATTGAAATACAAGCAGACATCCCTGTGGGCATTTGACAAGGAAGGATATCAATAATCTAATAAACGACTGGTTTTAAGGCATGTGGGAATGTAGATGGCCTTGTCATCTACGTTGTAGGCTGGCATCCTCCATATACTCCAGACTGAAAGGGAAAAGGAAGTTAGGTCAACTTGACCAAAAATAAATTGCTAATTGCGAAAATTGAGCTCACACAAGAGACGAAATATCACGGGTTGACACACTCGCGCTAATCTGGCAGCCAAAAAATAAACCAGTGAGCACGGGCGTCACTCTGGACTCTACCACTACGTGCACTCGTCGCAAAACTAAACTATTCCAAGTCCTCTAGGGGCTTTATAAATGATTTATTTATCAAGCTCTGCAAAGTTGTCATTCTTAAAAGGGACTCTTGTAAAGCGGTAAGTACAACTGGCCGGCATAATTGGACTTAGGTTTCAGGAGGAGATTTTCGCAATTGAAATCTGTGTCCGTGAATGTCTTCGTAGAAGAACTAATACAGCCACTCACTATAGGCATCACGTCGAACAGCCAGGCACTTTGGCCTCATTTAAAACGATGTTAAGACTAGTAGGCAGTTGCAAAACAAGGTAACAACGTGGTGGGTTTTAGGTCCAGATTGTCTTGATGGAAACAAAAGGGCTGCTACATTCGCGAAAGTGGGGGAACGATCAGGTGGCCTATGTAAAACGGTAAACGGCAAAACAGGAGACTTCCCGTAGAGCCTCCAAGCGACTACTCAATCTTTCCGGGGGGTTTTGGACCTTCAGCCAGGTTTTTAATTGAAAAATGCCTATGGACGCCTCTGAACGGGTTAAAGATATCTTATGTAAAAATACTTATAAAAGTTCTCTGCTTTCATACAGAACATTCAGTTGNCGTAGAGCCTCCAAGCGACTACTCAATCTTTCCGGGGGGTTTTGGACCTTCAGCCAGGTTTTTAATTGAAAAATGCCTATGGACGCCTCTGAACGGGTTAAAGATATCTTATGTAAAAATACTTATAAAAGTTCGCTGCGTTCATAAAGAACATTCAGTTAGATATAATTTCTATATATTTTCTAGGTTAAGTGTGAAAAAATATACCATCGGACCAAATTTGTTTCTTAACTTTATTGCTATACACACCCCATGCAATTTCATAGCACAAATTGTATCGCCCCCTCCTCGTAAGTGCTAAAATATGTGAAAAAGACCAAAGGATAATTTATAAAAATATCGCATGCCTTTCAATAGCTTTGACTACAATAGATCGACATTTACATATACATAGATTGCATGCTGTGTTGCCGGCATGAAACTATCATTTTGCATGAACCCTACTTATTTTTTTTTCGGTTAGAATCATAGCGCCTTATAGATACCCAAAAGCTTTATGAAGGCAGACACTAATCAAATAAACGCTTGCTTGCTCTGTCTGAAGACAAACTTGTTTCGTTTGCGCTTTCAGCTCCGAAGGAACTTTGTTCTTCACTCACACTTTATACTCATTCACTTCCACTATTTTGTCGCTGTTTATTCGCTTCGTTTTTTGATGAAATTTCTTTCTTATTTGTGTACTTCACGCACGCGCTGTACAGCTGCATCAGAGCGCTGTTTAGAAGGCGGCCGAAATACACTCCAGGGCCGGAGCGGTGCCTCTGCGCCCCATCACCATCGTCAGCAAATACCTGCTTGCCCGAGCAGCGGGCCTTGACTGAGGAACGCCTCACCTCCTGAAACTGCCAGTGTACATTCCACGAATGCTGAACAACACCAATACCAACACCAACAACAGCAACAACCACATCAGCAACAGCAACAGCAACAGCCCAAGCATTCACGCCAACAGCAGCATCATCACGTACATTGTAGCTATGATAAGGATATTGTATGTGACGACACGCAAGCGCACCTGCAACAATTGCAACAGCAACAGCAGCAACAACAGCACGGCGATCAACCACATATGCACCAACCGACTCACTGTCACAGTCATATTGCTTACGCGGAACCGCTTCAGCAGTCCTCCTCCACACCGACGCCACACCGCCACCAGCAACAGCAGCAGCAGCAACGCAAGCACAGTCACAGCCATAGTCCACACCATAGCCGCCACACATCACCGCACAGTCATCACTCGCACAGCCAGCACTCGTCACCGCATCAATCACACCATCACGTGCACGAGACCGACTCACTTACGCGCTCATCACTCACGCATCCACCACGTCCCTCGGCTAACAATACACAATCATCATCCTCTCATCATCAGCATCATCATCACAATCATAGACGTAGACGTTCGCGTCACAACCATCAGCAGCAGAATGGAAATGGGAATGCAGGAGGCGGAGGCGGAGGCGGAGGCGGCAGCGGCAATTCAAGCCTACATGGCCCACATGGGCACAGCCATCAGGGGGAGCAGCGGTCTTCGTCGCGACATCATAGCCACGCGCATGGCAGTAGCTGCACGCGACGACACCGATCGGCTACCGATATTTCCAGCACATCGCTCAATACGTGTCAAGATCCGACATGTGTGGATCGCGAAGTACAGGATATCCTGGTACGCAAGACCTGTTGCAACTCGTCTCGCACCGAACTGGCGCAATATTTCGCAGAAGATCTCTATGGTTCAACACGCCGTCCGTCGTCGTGTTGCACCTCTTCAGACTACTGCTATCAAACAGATTCAACCAGTTTGTATGGTTCACGCTCATCGCTCAGTCGTAACAACTCGATTAAGTCCGCGTCCGTGGCATTGCGCAAACGGCGTTTGCACCAACGTCAGCCTAGCTACACATCGATATCGCTGCGTGGCTTGAATGCAGGTCGTCCTAGCAGCCAACCCGGTTCACTCACTTCCGTTTTCGATCGCGCCAAGCAGTTGGGTATCGACGCCGCTGACTTGGATAAACGTGGCAGTAGAGGAAAAATAGTAGTTTCACCATCGAAAGTAACCATTGAAAGACAGACTTCAAAAGACGCACTGAGTAACGACCTGCCGGAGTACGCTTGCTCACCTTCGCCGATACGCTGGAGCTTCCTCGCAGATGGCAAATCCCCAACTGAGATGGAGCGATCAGGCGAAGTGGATACTAAGGATCCATGGACTTCCGCTGACGAGCAAACACGCGAGCCAAAACAGTCTAAATGTGAGCACCGTAGCGAACATCGTTCATACACAATGCAGCACAACAGTCGGAAGTACGCACATGACGATCGGCCAAGCACATCGGCTGCGGCAGCGCGCAAATGCCGTGAGAGTCCATTCAACTGTGATTTCGAGGAGTCTTCGACAACTGTGCTCTTCCATCAAGAAGCCGACTCCTACAACAACTGTTGCAATAACTACATCCAGTGTAACACCTACCTCGACCAGGATCTGCAGATCACCAGTGAAGACATTCACCAATATCTCTCCAAAGGCAATCAACAGTCCAGTGATGTGCTGAACAACTCCAAAAACTACCCATTCCAGCCAAGCAACGCCTTGGAGTTTCAATACAAAAACAACTTTGCGAACAACAACATCGGTGCCGCCTCCTCTGAGGGTGGTGACTCTGTACGCGGCTATGAAATCTGCTTCCGCCGCAACTCCAGCAAGGAGACAAATCTGAATCAAAATGCGCCTGGTGGTGTCGGCGGTTTAGCTGGTCCCGATGACGAGGCGGCCAGATGTGCGGCGTCCTCATGTAGCAGCACGCCACTTTCGCCCACCAACATCAATCTCTCTTCCAGCACGAACAACATTAATATCGTCTTTGGCAACTACACTGAGCGCAATGCCAACGAAGTGAAGTTTATCAACACCACACGCGCCGGCAATGGAGTGGCGGTGTCAACCGAAGCTCATCACAGCGGTTACCTACCCTTTACCTACCCAAGCTACGACTACACCAACATGTCAGCGAATTCAGTTTTCGACAAGCCATTGGGCATTGGTGAGTTGCCCAAGGACTTCACCAGCGCTGCTGGCAGTGCTGCAGAAATGGAAGAAGGAGCTGTTGGTGGCGGTTATGTGCGCAGCTCCTGCGGCTCACCAACCGTCACTGCCACCAGCGACGGCCAACACTCCTCCTTGCTGCAATCGCCCGTACCCACTGGCGTGTCATTCGAGTCCTTTGATGCCGCTTCCGATCACAATTTGATTTCATGCCGTGGCAGCTGTCAATTCTCACCCACGCCTCGATCGCCCCTATCGCCCGCATCGCCAGCCTCCTCACCATGTCTGTCGGCTTCCATAAATCCGGCAGCCGCCTCATATGTGAACACTCATCATCCGCACTTCCATTATCAGGCGCATGGCGACGATCGACAGCGCTCACCCGGCAGCGATGCACGCCATCATTATCATCACAATCATGCACAATATCATCATCATCACTTCACTGAAAGCTTTAAAATCAGCAATGCACTCAATAAGGTGCGCAAGCGTGCACGCAAATATACTGAATTCCTACGCAAGAAGTGAACAAGCGATCGAACGATTCGAGGATCGGTGGCGCTGCGAAACTGATCACGAAGCGAGCAGTGTGTATCACGCAGCGAGCACCGATCGGATCGTTTGAACGAAAAGTCGCTGGAGCGAAGAAAAGCACAATTTTGTATGCGTTTACGTCTGTTTTCGGTAGATTCTCCATACTTCGGCAGAAGATACGTGGTCGTGGCGCTCAACCGGCGCGCCTTTAGTTTGGACGAAGGCGGTGAATGAAGCAACGCATCTGGAGCAATTTCGCAAAATGTTTGGTTTTTAATTTGCGACAACCAAACAGTTTCAACCCTTCTTCAATTACAAATGAGAGATAGATAGATGATCACAAGAAATTACGACTTCAAGCGCGTCCAGCGGCCAAATTCATAACAGCTACAACAACAAAAATAAGTATTTATAAGAGACGCACCTTTCCGCTCATTCATCACATAAAAATTCTTAAGAGTTTAGTAGTAGCAGTAAGAATACTTAATTCATATTTTGAGCTCAAAAACAATCAAGGATCATCGCGTAGAGGTACACAACAATCGAACAATTGCCCACGCCGTGCGGGTCAGCTGCGCCCAGTAGCCCCGCACTGTGCGGTTGGTGGAACGGAGAAGCGAATAGCATTAGGCATTGGTGGTGCATACATACATACATACATACCAGCATCCATACTTGTTAACCTGGAAAAAAGAAACCACAACCGACATTCAATCTTGAAAAGCAATAAAGAGCAACAAGCTAAATAAGAAGCTAGTAAGGAGGAGAGAGCAGAGGTGCTTGTGGATTTTGAAATTGGAACTACTACTAAGTACTAAGTTGGTCGTTACGTGCGCATATGTATATGAAATGCAGTGCATGTATTAGAAGTGTAAGCAGGCGTAAATTATTTACTTTGTTCACTGCCAAAAAAGAAAAAATAGTAAATAAACTTATAACAAAATGCGAGTAAGAATGTCAGTAAGAAATGCAGAAGTGTGGCAACACCCACCATTCAATGCCAAATTCAGAATGCATACATACATACATATGTACATGCATAGGTGCTGCGTTTTAATTGGGGGCGTGTCTAGCCACGCTGTTATCAATATCACAAAATACTCACTAATACATACACACACACACACACAAACACTCGCGTACTTAGTGATAACGTACATTAGCATACACATACATATGTATAGACAGGGGCGTGCATGCAATGGCCCAGTGCGCCCCAAAAATGATATGGCAGGCGCGCAAAATGCAAAACCTCTACGACTGTTTTGCACATAAAAATTCAAAACTCAAACAAAAAAGCAAAACTCTGAAAAACACTCGAAAATGCAAATAGAAAAAAGTATTTGCGAAATTGTGACACAACGACTATTTTAATTAAAGATAAATACATAAATAAATAAGACAACAAAAAATAAATAATAAAATAGGTGAAAATTGTGAGAACCAATAGAATGAAAAAAAATCAATAAATAAATAAATTTGTATTAGGCAAAAATACAAAAGAACATAGAAAACAAAAAAAAAACAAAATATTTATAAATAGTTTAAATAAACCAAAAACGTACTTTCCAATTATATCAAAAAGAGAAAACAAAAAACATTTAAATAAAATAGCGAATGCGAAGCAGGCAGATAGTTCACACATATGTAAAAAAAAAACAACTACAAAAGAAATCAAAAAAAAAAAAACAAGGAGCGCAAAATTCACTGCAGTACTAGTAAGAATATGTTAAATTGCACATTAATTTTAAATTGAATTAGAAACGAAATCCAAGACTAGCATCCACCACTCAAAAGCGTATGAATAAAGGCAACGCAACACGCACACAACAGCTCGCATGAAAAAGAACTAAATGAAAAAGAATTTAAAAAAATGCAACATCCTGCGAAAAACTGTAGCTATGCCATTAACCCGAAAAATTCCCGAAATATTTTCATTAACCACGCTCTGTAGCAGTACCTCGAAAAGGTATGAAAACATATTTTCATTTGACTTCTCTAACCACTTCACATTTTTTTTTTTTGTTTAACTTTATAAGACGGATAATGTTGATAAAAATTCTATTTGTGAGAAATATCACACAGCAAAGATCACTCACAGCCCGAGCACCCAAGCGAATATCAAATGAGTTCATCTGTTTCTGAAATCCCATTTGTTCTCGCTAAGATTGTGAACCATTGCGTTATGTTAGATTATGTCACGAAATGCAGGAGACAGTCTTAAATTAAGACTAGGGATGATCTATTGTTACAGACGTCCGTTTAGTTACAAGGCTTCTGTCATCTAAGTATCGTTAAGGAACCCCGCGAGTTTCCCCAAGGGCTTCACGGCGTCGCAAAATGCGCTCTGGTGTCTCCTGTATTTCGTGACATACTCTGCACTAGTCATAGTAAATTATTTCTTATATGATAAACGCTTGGAGTGCTTGGTAACAATTTTTACTTCGTGCCTGGCAAGGTTAAGAAGTTATTCGGCTCTTGTTGTTAATATTTGCTTGGTGAAGGTTTTAAACTCTTTGTTATCCTCCCTATTTGTCCAGTTAGGTTCCGCTCCCTCTATCATACGGAAATATGAATTTCGCCTAACATAATTCCATGGTGGTAAACCCAGTTCATGGCGGCGACGGATGTTAAAAGCACACGACAATTCCACAGTAGCTTTGAGCTGACTCCGTGTGCTATCAATTGGAGGAAAGGTGCCATATTTTTAGATTTTATACTGTTGAATCCTTGGTCGGCCCCCTTTCTACCCCATACTGAGTTCGATGGCAATGGGACGCAATTTTTTTTATAGTCACACCAGTGCCACAATACAGCGGACTTCTATTGAAAAATTTGAACAAATTGTTTTTTGTGTTTGGGATATTTGGGCAAATGCCCAATCGTGTGCCACTGCCTTTAGGCTATCCTTCGAGAGTACTGACCGTTCAATAAGCCTCATTGGTAAAGTCGTAAATTCTGCCAAAATCTACGACTCGACAACATTGGCATTGTCGAAATAAGTAAACGACGAAAATCGTCGAAAATTATGCAGTGCTGCCAAGTTTTTCAATTTTAATCACTAGTCGAGTGGCTATGACGTGGCGTATACTACACTTCTGCCTTCTTTTGCCAGGCGGGCATATGCTAGGATGGACTTGGAAATACTTCACTTATCTTACAAATCTATCTGTTATGCACCACTTATGCTCCATAATCTTCCAGCATGTTCAAATGGAGACCTTGGCCTTTTAAATGTATGTATGAAGGTGAGAATTTAATGAGGGCTTGACATCAATGGAGATTCCTACATATTTGACTTGTTTAGGTTAGTACCTTCTCTCTCTGAAAAAGTGATTCTAGAAACCGTCTCTAGTGGCGCTATTCAGCGCCCTCTGTATGGGGTAATCGGCGTAGTCCTGAACATCTAAGTCCTTTCCCCAAGACCTTGCTCTAACCTGTGCAACCTACGACCACCTCTTTGCGCTTCGTGGGCTTTAAAATATTTTGCGTCTGTCCTCGAATAAGCATTACTGTCTCTTACAATATTCAATCCTATTGCGAGTGTCGACTAGTAGTAGATAAACGACTGTTAGTCGATTATCGATAATCCGTTGTATTTTCAAATGCGTTTTCGCGTTCAATAAGAGACCGAGGTTTTGCTTCATTAATGACTATTTTTTTTTGACATATGAGTATGTATGTATGTGTTTGATATAAAATTAATATGTTAAGAGATTGCAAAAAAATATTCTAAATAACGGTAATGTAGATTCATAAAGACACATGGCTATGTAGGTAAGTGAGTGTGTAGAAATGTTTAGTCAACTTCAGTTGTACGTATGTATATTAATTGGATCTAGAAATTACGCAATTTTTATTTTTTTTTTTAAACTTCAACAAACGTAATGGGGATAGATAATAACTAAATTGTAAACAATAAAAAAAAATGCTAGATGAGTAAGAGAAAATCCAAAACAAACAAAAAAATACAATTACAAAAGCGATAAAACATTTGCAAAACATATACATAGCTAACGAAGTAAGTAAATAATAATAAAAAAAATCTTTAGTACGCACGGCCGGTGTGCACAGTTTTACTATTTTACAAAAAAAAAGGAGTTAATTTAAAGTTTAGGTTACAACAACACAAATTCTACGCCAAAATGAGTAACTTCTTTAAAAGGTTATTTTTAAGCTGATTCTTAACAAAAAAATTATATAATTAAAAAAAAAGTGATATGTACACCCAGTCCCCGTGGCATGCAACAAAGCCCACTCAAGTAGTCCACTTCGAGCTCACTTTTATGATATTTAAGCTTTGAGACAAATATGTATCTATGTATTTCGTACTCACCACAACACCGCAATTTTACGCTACAAAGTTCCTATAATTTTAAATGAACACAGCGAATGATTTCATTCTTCATTCATCCTTAAATGAGTAAATAACGAAGCAAATATTCAATGCTCCACGTTGAGAGGTAAACTGTCACGCACGCAAGCACGCACGCACGCGCACATCTCTACACACACGTGTGGTACTTACAGGCACATACATAACTGAAAAAACACACTCACAGTCACACACACAACCGCACGCATGCCACATCACGCATTTAAAGGCACTCCTCGCAATTGAATTAGTTACTTAAGGATTTCGCGTTTGTAATTGGTGTGCATTTTTTAAGTGAAATTTTTTTTTATAAATACGACTACTGTCTTCCATTAAAAAAACAAAAAGGCAAAGAAAAAAAAATCAACAAAATCATTGGTTTGAGCAACTTGTGTTTTCATTAACCAAGCAATTTGTTGTTGTATGTTTCTCACTTTTGCATTTCTTTACACACACACACACACACACACACACACACACACACGTATTCAGTTTACTTAATGAAAATTTGTTAAAGTAAAATTTAAACGAAAATATCAGCAAATAAGAGAGAAAAATGCGCAGAAAGTAAAGCATGCAAACACAAATAAAAAAAATAAAATAAATAAATAATACTGAAAAAAGGAAAAACAATTTAAATCGAATGTACCTTGTGCGAAAAATTACTGTCTGTAAATAGAAAGTTGATAAATTATGCTAAATTAAAAACAAAAAAAAAAAAAACAAAACATAAGAATAAAATTTATAATAGTGGCAACAATAATCGTAGTTATTAACAAATACAAATAATGAAATAAATAGGCGAAACAATTGTAATAAAACGAAAATAAATAGAGAAATAGAATGAAAAAAAAACAACAACAATATGTATTAGCGCCACAATTAACCAGAAATTAAACGCAAAATGAAGCAACAATAACAATGCAAACAAAATGAGAAAATTAGTGAAATGACATTAACACAATTAGCCTAAAAGAAACAAAAAAAAAAAAAGCCAGAGAATAACAGCAAAAATTATGCATAAAAACAAACAAACAAAAAATACATAAATCTAACCGTATTTACAATAATTTAAGTCATTTCGTATATAGTTAAAATTTTCAATGCACTGCCAAAAAAGGTTTTTAAAGTGAAAATAGCGACAACAACAACAATGTTATGTTCTTTTTGTACATATTGAAATAAATGAAGAAATTAATGAAAATGCAAATAAAAAAATAGAAAACAAAATACAAAATACAAAATAATTAAAATACTTACTAATCACTAGCAAAGTGAACGTAAATCGTAACGGTATAATTTTATTGCACTTAAATATAATTAAAAATAGTTTAATAAAAATAATAACGACTAATAAAAATTAAACGAAAGATAAGCAATGATAGAAAAAAAAAATACTAACATACATACATATATACAAACATATTTTCTTTGAAAAGGTATTTGAAGCTGAAAAAAGTCACAAGCAATTGGCAATTATTTAGTACTTTTTTTATTTTTAACCGACTACCAAAAGAGGAGGAGGTTATCAGTTCGTCGGAATATTTTTTTTTTTATGTATGTTACCGCATAACTTTGGACCACTTTGGACTTTGCATCGGAAAGGTAGTGTCTCAGACTCAGTCATCTGTTTATATTACGAAAATAGCAACTAAATTTAGGTGCATCGACAGAACGTTCTTTTATACAACTGAAAGGCAACACTGCCGTCAACTTAAAGCAATGGCTGACGCACCCTGCGTTATCCCCAAAGAAACTGGTCACATTTTTTGACGTTTTTCGCCATTTCTTCGTTGTCACTTTTGTCAGCGAAGACGTCAGCCGCCGTGTTATTGAGGGATACTACATTAAAATTGTATGGGTATGAGAATTTTTGACAGTTCTTTGTCGTTTGACGGGCCAATTTAGGGATGGTTGTTATGCTATCACTTATTTTCACAAAAACTATTTGGAACGCGCCATGTTTTTTTTTTTCTTGCAACTCAGTATGTGCCATGGGAAAAGAATATATGAGGTTTTTGTGTTGCCTCCATGGGGCCACCCTTCTAGAAATAAAAGGGGCCGTTTCGGACCACTCCAACTCTAGCATTGGACATCGCGGCAGTCATCTACGCTCTCAGCTCGAAAATGGTCGGGGAATTCCTAATCGAATACATGGCTGACGAATTGGTTTCCACTATGATGGTGGAGTTCCTGTGGCATCATGCAGATTGCTCCAGAATATATAGGCGTTTCGTCAGCTCGGTGTATGCTGGTCAAAAACCTCGGAATACAATGTTGCAATGGCTTTATGTGTCGTTTTGGACCGCGGCTGGTTCTCTCAATTTTGATAGGAATTCTGACTTGAAACTGGGTCTTGACTCTTTTAGCTCTATGCAGCCCCCCCCTCCCCATTCACATTTTCTATCAAATTCCACCTTTTGATAAATTCGTAGATTTGCGTTAAAATCCAGCTAAAAATTTGCTGAGACACTAATGGTTTTGGCAATTTTTATTTGACTCCATTACTGATTTTGTTGAAAAACTTTTTTAGATCAAAGAGAACAAAGTTTTGCAAAACATCAATTTAGTTCTGATTTTTTTTTTCAAAAAAATCCTCATTCCTTTAGTTATATGTACTTAGTTATTTGAGTAGCCCATTCACTCGATTTCCACGCCACTTGTTTCGAATAATAATTAGAAGACGAAATTTACGACTCTGTTCTGTATCACTGACAAATTCTTGTCACAGTTTTTATTACGCAAAAATTTATGAAAAAGTTTAAATTTGTCAGTAAACAAATTTTTGTCACCGATACAGAATTGGGCTATTAGTTAAAAAATCTTGTAAGTTTAAACACTGAATCAAAACCTAACGTTAACACTGTGAAGATAAAAAAAACATAAAATAAAGTAAGTAATTGCAATGGAATATTTAAGAAAAATAATATTCGAAGAAATTGAAAATCGACTCTTGCGGCATTGACTGGTTGAGCTTACAAAGTAGCACAGCTAAGCTGAATAAAACTGGGAAGATTTTATGTTATTTTACTGTTTACAAAAAGGCCACGAATTGAAATTTAATAAATAAATAACTCATTTTTCATTTGCCACTAAATATTACATAATTTACCCAGAATATTTCCGTTTTACGTTTCAGTTGTCAGGTTTCTAGATTTCCCGCGCTCTCGTCAGCTTAGCTGGGCGACCTTGGGACTGAACCTAAACAATGCTGTGTGTTATTCTAAATGTACATAACGAAAAATAAAAGAAATCATTATTTTACGATTAAGTCATTCGCGTTGATTGGATTAGAATATACATACATACATATATATATAGGTACATAGTATATAGATATAGCAAAAAAGCAAACACAACAATTTTTAATGTTCATCAAAACATAAACGTACTCGTATTTTAGTTTAAGTAATTTCAATGAACACATAATTATTTAACTAATAAAGGAAATACCTTATAGAATTATGTATAGAAAATGTTAAACACAAAAAAAAAAACAAAAACAAAAAGATTTAAGGAAACAAAGGAGTTGTCGCACTGTCGGCAGTGTGGAATGAAGAAACTGCAAAAAATAGGCTAAATCAATTAAAAACACAAAGAAAAAAACAATAACGACAAAGAAAACAAACGAAATGTGCAATACGCGAATATGTGGTCAATACAATATAAAACTAAAATAAAATAAAAAAAAATAAGCGTAGCAGAATAATCGTCGCTACAAACTCAAGAACACTTACTCCACAGAAGGTTCCTGTCCTATCCCAATTTAATATTTATTTTCATCGCAACACTTAAATTTTTGTATACATACATACTTATGCTGGATTTCCACTAGGCATTAAATGGCAAAAATTACAAATGACAAAGTCGGGCATTAAAAAATAATCTTGTCATTACATTAAAAAAAGTCATTAAGTTCATTTCCACTTGGCATTTTTTTAAATGGCATAAATTTTTTGTCATTTCAATGCCTAGTGGAAATTCGGCATTACTTACATAGAATTAACCCTTTGATTTAGGTTGCATTTTTTTATATTCTTCACAAAACGAGCCCATTTCGTTGACTGGGACCAGTGCATTCATTCTCACCAGCTTAACGTGCAGTAAAATCATTAACAAAAACAGAAACATGTAAACTGTATCCAAATTGCAAATACGGATATACAAAAAAAAAAATAAATAATATTATTACTAGCTAATAATATTAAGCAAGATGTAATTAAATATAAACAAGAGTTAATACAGTGACTTTAATAAAATCACACATAAATAATTAATTATGTATATGAATTTAATTTATTATTAATTTTTTAGGCATAACAAATAATATTAATTAGTAACGAAGTGAGAACAAAACAAAATCATTATTATGAACACATATAAATAAATTACAATATATGAAAATAAATTATATAAAAATTGCTCAATTTAGCAAGAAATTTAAAACGAGTAAAGAAATGAAAGAAAATAAATTACAAAAAAAAAAAACAAACAAACAAAAATACGTTAAGAACAATTTCATTCAAGTTTTTCATTAGACAGTCAAACGATGAGTCGCTAGCTCAATATTAACAGAGCTCGGAAGGGAGTTCTTGTACGTGTGAACGATCGTCACATAGAACTTACGTCCCAGCTTCATGAAGTCGTAAAGTACGGTAGTCAATAGAGAACAAATATTTAATTTACGATGGCAGCTCTCTTGGAATTAGAAGTGGCAACAGAAATTCCTAAAAAAGCTCTTGGTTTTAAACAGCGCCGCAGAGCCTCGACAAGTCATATCCTACGATGGTGTTGTTTTTTTTTTTTGTGGAACTATAACTGCACTCAGAGCGCCTACCATCCATGGTGTAGGTTCCTTTCCGTTTAAGATTCGTGTCATCTTAGAAAACGGAGCACCCGCACAGGTTTTTGACTTTGTTATTTATAATATCTATATCAACTTTAAATGTTCTACTGTAACCAATACAGGGTGCTCAATGATCTTGAAATGCGCCACTAAATTCCTATGAAACTGAAAAAAATATTTATGCTTTTTTATAAGAAGCTACGTGTGCCATGACGACAGAACCCTGTAATATTTTTTCAGCTAATTTCAATTTGAAATTGCTTAACTAATTGCTTAGTTAATATATGTATGTACAAAATACTAAATGTATGTACACTTAGAAAAATAAAGTTTGGTGGCAGAATTTCTCTCGCCAAGGAAACATTTTTTAAGGTGTCCCGAATCCTATATCGGAAAAAATTTTTGGCCCACATTAATGTACATATGTACATACATACATACGAAGGAACGGGGGGACAATTTTTGGATCGCTATCACACTTTTTGGTGCAACACTGATATCATGCATCAACAGTGTCGCTAACTGGTTACAGAATCTCCCCACTGAACGTCAAAAGAAGTGTTCGCGACTCTCATATTTACCGAATGTTTTCGACTTTAGCGAATTTGACATTAAGAGGAAGAACAACTTAACATAAACTCTTTGCATTTACTTATGACGGTTTCGTTTCTACCGAAAATGTTACACTCTCATCGCCCTCAAAGCACAAACACTAAGAACCGGGCAATGAAAAGGCAACATTTTTTGTAGAAACGAAACCGCCATTAATTTTCTAAATTCCACGCATTGGACCCGACCAAAAGGAGTTTGAAAAAATAGCTTGCCTTTATGTTGTTGTTAATTTTTATCTTGACCATATATAAAATACATAAGGGCTGTTCAGGGTCTTGCATTTGCATATTCGTGGCATTTGTAAATTCACAACAATAAAATGCACACGGTTGCCATGGCAGCAAGCATAAAATTTTGCAAATGCAATTCCAACTGCAAATCCAAGACCATTTCCACAACATACTGAACAGCCCTACAGTTTCCAATGAAACAGTTTTTCCCTCTGATGCTTCCGAACATTCGGCATTGGTCGATTTGGCACTAGCGAGACTGCGGACCAAGTAGAATTCAAAAATATATAATCACCTAAGAGTGAAAAGGTGCCACGTCCATTTTTTTTAACTGTTCAGGAGAGACTCAAAATCGATGTAGTTTCGTGTTACCTGTCATTCTATTAAATTGAATTTTAAATTTTGAAAAAAATTTACTTCCCAGTAGATAATTTCAGGAGCTCAAAGGGCTTCCAAAAGGTCTTATTAAGAGTAATAAGGTCCTCCACTCTACATTCCTTTCTGCTTTCTTGTTTATATGGAGTGGCACAAATTGAAGGCCTTCTGTTCTCGCTACCATTGAAGGCCTTCCAGAAGGGCTTTTGTAGAGCGTATTTCAGAAGGACTTTTGGAGGAGCTGATTCTTTAATTTCAAAAAATCATACTTCTTTAAAGTATTTATTTAAGGTTCATATCAAATATATTTTGTCTAAAATGCATATTTAAATTTATTTATAATAAATAATATAAATTTACGCATTCACGTAAATTGTAAATAGTTGGACCTTCTAGAAGCCATGCAGGCAAGCCCTTATTCAGCCCTTCTTGGGTAGGCCTTGCAGAAAGGCTTCACTTAAGAAGGCCTACCTAAATTATCTACTGGGTTGGACTCCGTTAAAAAATCTTCGTTCAAAAACGTCGAAACAGTTCCTATCAGTTTCTTTTATTGGGAAAAACAAAGGTTTTACATAACGGTTTCTGATCTACAGTTATGCGTAAGTATGTACATACTTAGCGATTGAATTCAGCCATGAAAAGTAAAATATATGTTTGTAACAAAAGTTTTCACCTTACCCAGGAACCAGTTCATCAGCAAAGCATATTCGCCGCTGGGAAAAACCAATTTAATTAAATCAGATCGGGGATAAAAGTTTCGCACCAACTGATCCCCCTGTAAAAAAAGCGAGTTTCGTTACAAATTTACTTAAATTTGTGCCTGATTCGAACGAACTTACATAATAGGGGCAAGTGTGATTTATGTTGCTAAAATTTTTGAAAAATGAATATACCACATTGGCAATGGCATTATTCTTCTTGACGATATAATCGCATGCGTCTACAGTAAAATCCATCACAAATGGCTTATATCCATTGGCTTTCTTCATGAAAGATGAACTAAGCTGGAAAGAAAAAATACAACAAATGGTTCTTATGTATATTAAATGGTTTACGCTTTCATAATAGAGCTGGGCAAAATACGTGATTTTCTACGTGACACGTCGTGTCACGCTTTTTCATGCGTGAGCGTGAGTGGTTTTGAGAGACAAATCAAAATCCGTGACCGTGTTGTACTAAAATCAAAATCCGTGACCGTGTTGTACTAAAATTGAATGGGCTATCAAACTGCGTACTTGGAATTTTTCTAAAAAATCTGAATAGGCTTGAATTTTCCTAAGTTTTGCACAAAGTTTAGAGATTGTTTTTATGTTTTTTGTGTAGGATGAACTATATCGTCCCTAGACACGAATAAAGGCGCGAGCTCATAAGTTGACGGCGAAAAAAGACGCATAAAAAAATTTCAGCGTCAAAGATTCTTAACATGCTTTGCCAAAGTTTTTTATAACCATCTTTTTTCGCAAAATTTTTTTAAACACCTTTATTCGCCGTCAAAACACTAGCGCGCCTTTATTCGTGTGCAGTGACGATATCTTTTTAAAGAAGTTATCGAAAATAAATTATAACTTTGCATATATTGCGAACAATTCTCTGTATCAATTCTTTTGTCCGTCAAAAAGCGTGCTTGAAAAAAATTCAACAGAACGTGAGTGTGCGTGATTTACAAAACCATCAACGTGAGCGTGCGTGAACGTGAGCCAAAATCACTTACGCTCAACATCTCTCTTTCATACCTTTATTTGGTAGGCAGGATGCAGGAATGTTATATTTATATTCAACACCGTGACATATCGGTTAATGGCGCGCAATCTACACTCATTTATTACGATCCAGGATTTGTTGAAGGACTCACAGTGGGCATTGGTGAACTTCAAACCAGCTTTCGATTCAACGCCGTTCATCTGAACATATTTTTTGTTGATGAATATTTAGATGACATAAAAACTTAGAAATTACTATAATACGTACCACATATAAAAAAAAAGACAAATCAGGACGAGTTTAGGTACTCGTAAAAGGCGCATAATAAGAAGCAATGGATTTTTGTATATACCAGCAGTATGCGTACCGTCGCGTGTCTCAAATGACAATGTCAACATATTTTTGCAATGAAAGCAGGTAATGTTTAATTTATTCATCTATATTAAATATTTTCTAATTATTGTCTAATGCGATACGTACATTTACCCAGTAGGAAAAGCGAAACGTTTTGGTTAATTTCAGTAACAGCCAAATCTCATCTTTGATATACCTTTTGGTGTACGGAATTTTTTCTAAATTCTCAAAGATTTATTTAGATATCGAAATAGAACACTCTTTAAAGACGGAACTTTTAAAGGTTTTGACTTGTTCTACTACTACCAAAACATACTTACAAATATGCTACATTCAGTCCTGCAAGAGAGGCAGAACTCAAAACGACCACAACTATCGCATGGAGCCCGTTGCGAGTTCCACCTACGATCAATTGCAGATTAGCGCGAAAATATTTATAAACAAAAAAAAACATACATCGTAAATTCGTAAGCCTGGTAAAAATTCCACAGTTTTTCAAATCGTAATTATATGTACATACATATTTATTATACTAATGTACAATTAATTGCTCTTGCTATTAATTAAATCGTTTAAAATACTAGCAAAGCGTAAATAACTCATCACCAAACTATTTATTACATATGTATATTATATGAAAAATATAAAATATAGACATCAAAATAAACAAAGCTTTGGCAAATTTCAGCCTTCCAGTGGTGAAAAATATGCCGGAAATGAGCAATTTTTGTTTCAGCATGCCGCATTGTATGCCTTTGTGGTCAGAGAGCCACAGGATAAGGTCATTATTATCCTTTATCCAGTATTATCCACGTAGGCAGGATATTTGTATAGGTCTGACTGAGTGGAGCCAGACGCAGGTAAGTTAAATTTTTTTTTTCAAAATATTTTTTTTTTGGAGCTACATATGTGCAGTCAAAAGTAATGCTGGAAAGAGTAATTGAAATTCGGATCTTCTGAATGGACATGTCATGTTGCCACAAACCATTTAATAACCGTTCCCCCGACAGTCCAGTTGGGTCTACATAACCATAACCATTTGTGTACATATACATATGTATCTGGCCAGTGCTATCACTACTCCGGAAGCATTTCCTCAAACTCTTTAACGATTTGTATACTGATGAATACACAAGCAATTATCAACTATCCAATAAGATAAATATAGACGAAGAAGATATAATAGTGGACTATTGCTACGGTGACCATATTTATGAGAGTCGAAAACGGGACAAAAAAATAATAATTTTCCAAATTTTTTTCCACAATGATCCTAGGTCTATTAGCCCTTAAACAGCATTCGTACATAACATCACAAATTTGTAGGATATTATTCTCGAGGTTTTTATCCCGCAAATTTTTTCAAGTGCATATTCGACAATTTTTTGATATGGAAGCAAATGGGCAGCGCATTGCACTTTATTATACACTCAATTTTAATAAGCTACAAAACTGCAAACCAATTTTTTTCTACAGATTCTTATTAAGAGGTTTTAAATGTTGGGGAAACTTTGAAGAATTAATTATCATAGTTTTTGCAGAAAGTCGGATATTTTTATTCATATGGGTTTTGTTAGGAAGAGAGCTTTACTTTCATTAAAAAAATAATAAGCAATAAATAAGCTTTAATATTTACTGATTTATCGAAGATTTCGTATTTCTCTAAATTACCGTTATATGGGATCCCACATCCCTGTGTAACCATCTGATAATATACACATACATTCATTATGTAAATAAAGACGCTTAAACGTATACCACAAATCTGTTTCTTTTCGTGTTGTATCTTTCAAGCATTTGTGCAAAGAAGTAATGTCGCAAAACTCATAAACTTCAATGGACAATATCTCAGGTTTAAAACAAGATATCTCGTTGAGTTAAACAGTATTATCAAGGGGAAATACTTTACTTTCAAATGGTTTAATAAATTTTCTAAAAAAATGAACGATTCTTGATGAAAATACATGACGAATATAGCAAAAAGTCGGGGTTTTCGCATGTTTAGGCTCAAATATCTCGAAAACCTGAGCCAATCGAGCAAAACTGATTCTGGATTCAGATTCAGCGCATCAAAAACCTTCGGAAAAGTGTAAGCTGATCCCAGGGTCTGCAAAATGTCGGCCTGTGTTATCGTCCGATTTTAAAAATTTTCGGCCATTTGGTATGCTGTACCAAGGCCGCCATCTGTGTCAAGTTCGGGGGAAATTGGTGCAGCGGTTACCAAAATATACACATGTAACCATAAGCGGGCGTGGCTACGCCCATTTTCCAAAAATTTTTAATATTCTTATTTCTCGTCTAATAATCATTGTAAATACCAATTTTGAGTAAATTATCTTCAGTAGTTACTAAAATATCGCAGTTTTCGTATTTCTGAAAATTACCGTTACATGGGAGGTAGGCGTGGTTATTGTCCGATTTTGCCCATTTTCAATACCATCCGTCCTACGCCCGAAAGAAGAGCACGTACCAAGTTTCGTTAAGATATCTCAATTTTTACTCGAGTTATCGTGTGCACAGACGGACGGACGGACAGACAGCCACCGCTTAATCGAATTCTTTTTTCATTCTGATCATTCATGTATAGATTTGTCGATATCTATCTCGATTCGTTTTGCCTGTTTGCAAACAACCGTTATGTGAACAAAGTTATAATACCCTTGTGCACAAGTGCGCTGGGGTATAAAAAAAGTCAAGTTGTTTATATCGATACAAATTTGACCCGAAGATCTTATGTGTTAAAAAATGTATAACTGGAAAAATAGTAAATATATACATATATAAGCCCAAGATCATAAGTATGGCTTTAGTTTCCAAATGGAATAAAAGTTTGCGGGGAAAAATAATTTTCTTATTGAAATGGGTGAAATTTGACCCGAAGACCATCGATGACATAAATAAATTACCAGGGCAATTGGTCAAAAAAGAGGAATGCCCCGTATAATACAGGACGGTTGGTCACCGTAACTATTGCGCATGTCTCGCTTTTGTCAAAACATACTTACTGCCTTCTTTGCAAAAAGTGCTAGCAAACTAAAGTGAATAGTTGGGTTTTGAGATTTCCAAAATAAAAGTTGCAATAAAAAAAAAAGCGCCAACATTAAATTTGTTAAATTACTTAAATAACGCAAGAGTTTGAGTAGTAACACACACACACACTCGAAATGCTCTTCTTTAGCTGGAGGCGGAAAACACGATTGAAGGAAAATCTAATGTGGCTTTTGGTCCCATTGCTAGTTTTGGGCTGCTTGCTAAGCATATTCAGCATGGAGTGTATTTTCAAAAAAAGCCTTACCATTAATCACATGGTAAGTGTAAATTACTTACCAAATTGCGATTGAATGGATGATTCAAACTCTTCGCCAGTGCAAGATGTACGAAAGGCACAAATATAGGGGTTCACTGTGTGAGGAACTCTGCAGCGAGCAGACGCCCTTTGAGAATTTCAATTGTCCAAACTATATCACTGCCCAGAAAAATGGTGATGTTATTGAATTTAGGGTAAGTGTGCCCAGTAAACTAAATTTTTCATCAAATAAATCAATGTAATTGTATTAAACCAAATGAATTGCAGCGTGCAGATAGAATATATGTTGAAGACTTAGCATGGAGCGACAAAAGAGGGCATCTTAGATATCCAAAAATCGATGATTTTTATCATATTGTAAAATTGCACATTTTAATCAACTACAACGTTACGTTGGAGGACAATATGGTGAGCTTTTTTCTGAGGCTGAATACAAAATAAATTAAAAAAAAAATATTTTAACGAACAAATGCATAAATATCCTCAATGATGCCGCAAGGCGCACATTTTCTTTCAATGCATTTGTTTCAGCCGTTTTTTTTAGCCTCTGAATTTTTTTCTCTCACATTATTATGCCTTTAAAGTGCTAGCATAATAAACAAATCTTTGTACGATTGATAATAATTTTCTCTTTATTTATGGCAGATAAAATTGTTGATTAATCAAGAAATCGATGAAAGTAACCCCGATCAAATGCTAAACTTCTGGCGACTTTTCAAGGACAATAACTATTTGATGGGCAAATTGTTCGATGACGACGGTCTCTTTTCTACGATAGGAGGTGCGTGCGGTCCAGTTTATATTGTGGAGCATTTGAAGCCACTAGAGCTTCGAAACAGCTTCACGCGATTTTTGTAAGTAATGTACATTCAAGTCGTTGAACTTAGTCGGTTAAAAAACAACACGCGTGTATGTATGTATTTTCGAAAAAAATGCATTTCCAAAAAGTGTCAGGGCCTTTTGAATTCATAACTTTTAATGACAATCCTTTGACGATGGCTTCGCATATACATTGACTATGAGCTACTAATGAGGTTGTTCACGCTTGCCTGGCTATCAGCTTATGTGGTTATATTTTGTATTCAGTTTACAACAATAAAATATACTGCACAATAATAATTTTTAACCAGATAACCTGAAAAACAGGCAAGCGTGAAGCACCTCAATATTCATAATTATTTCAACTCTTTGTTCGTAGAAGGATGAGCGACTTTTTACATAGAAGGAAACTTGCACTTACAACTGCATGCCCAAAAATGTTTTAAAGATTCTGGTTTGTTGAAACCTCAAAAAAAAACATTAAACATTTCCTTATTGCACACATCTACCACCGCATTTAAATATTTATAAAATATATTACTCTTATTACCTTCACTATAGCCTAAACAGTCCGCCAGAGCAAATGCTCTTCAAGAGGCTATTAAATTATATTATGCGTTTGGATATGATCAGACCGGATCCCTTGAAAATCTGCAAAATTGATTTATATAATTTTGGCTTCACAACTGATTCCAGGTACTCTTATTTTAGTATTGAATACATTCATAAAGCTCATTAAAATATACCTTCTTCTTGTTTCAGATTGAAAGCTTTCAACGCCAATCATATAGCGGCAGAGACCCAAGTGAATAAGCGTTTAGCTAGCGGTCAGCCCTGTTCGCGCGATGAAGATTGCGACTGGCATCAATGCCACGGTAGCTGCGACAAGCGGAAGCACATCTGTAACGGCGCTCAAAAGAATGATAATTTAGCGATCTTTTGCGATTATGTCATGGAGTATCCGTACCATTTTCCCGAATTAAAAATGCAGCCTGCAGTGTTGGAGCTCTATAAAGAGAAGTGCTTGCAGCCAAGATCAAAGATTCGTTGGAACGATTAAAAAGTGTGTCCTGTGGATAGCGAAATACATATACATATGTATTAATTATATTTGCATTAAAGTAATCGGTGCCATACACAAACACATACGTACAAATCATACATACAACATATACTCGTATTGTAAAAGTTTTGTAAAGCTTCAAAATTGCCAATATTACTTTATTTACAGAAATTAAAATTTTTACATTGAAATTAAATCATTGTAGAAAAACTAAAGCGGGCGTACTATTTGTTTCATTTTTATTATTTCTGGTTTTACATTCACAATAAATTTTGTTTGGTTTTTTGTTTTAATATAACAGATATTTTTGTCTTATAATTTACTGTTATTCTTATTATGATTTTCCTTTACATTATTTAAAACGTTTCTGATTTAATGTTATTGTTTATGATTTATCGTTTACATTTAAATAAGAAATTACTTTTTCCTTCCATAACAATGTCCGTGACTGCGATTAGTAACGTGCTTTAAATAGGAAAAACTTAATTTTTCACGCTTCGCGTAAATGAAAAAAGCAGCAAATAAACGAAGTGTAGCCGGTAGAAGCTAACAACCTATGCCCGAAGAATCACCTTGTTGAACATGAAGTGGAAGATGCTAAATGGCGTAAATAAATATGGCGCGAAGCAGTTGTTTCTGTCTAACGCGCAGGCGGGCATCGAAAGTAAAGATGTTTCATATTTAATAAACAAAAAAGGCGTTTGAAATCCTTTGTGGAGACTTACAGACAATCTACATATTCAACACGGAAGGCAACTGGTGCATTAAGCGTCAAAATATAACAAAACTAAAACTCATCGGGAAATCAATTATCTACAAACAGCACACCATTTTTTTTTTTGTACGCAACTACACATATTTGCCTGAAGCCTTATTTTTAGACGTGTTTGTAATTTCATAATTAGTTTAGTTTTTATAATTGTTGCTTTTGTTTAGAATTTTGATTACACAATTTCTGTAATTCCATTGCTTCCGCAAAAAGCAGTTTGGCGCAACTTTAATGTACATTACAATAGTAAGTAGATATAAGCATTTGTGTTTCTTTTCGTTTCATTTAAATTATAAAATAGTAGAAAATCTAAGTAGAAATGTACAAATATGTGCCAGTTTTCAAAGTTTCAGTTAAACTTTTTTTAAGTTGCGTCAATTTCTTTGCCTTATTTATTTTCGATCTTNTGCCAGTTTTCAAAGTTTCAGTTAAACTTTTTTTAAGTTGCGTCAATTTCGTTATCAGAGTGTTCTTTGCCTTATTTATTTTCGATCTCGATTTTATATTATATGAAAATATCTCTATGTAGGTATGTATTTTACGTGAAACTCCAAACTATCTTCAAACCAAAACTGCTTTTTAGTTAAAGCGAACTTCAAAGTCAACTTCCATGCTCTTTTAGTCAGAAAATTTGCAATCAGATTTTTTTAATTTCACTTTTTGGTTAACTTAATCATTACAATTTTCATTACAGTATTAAAAAGTATCTTAACGTTATTAATGAACATTATTTATTGATGTGGAGCATAATTTGAGAAGTCTATGGATGCCTATATATATTTGCAATAATTTTTAAACTTATAACGATGTTGCATATTGCAATTCCACTTTACTGCGTAATTAGTGATGACGATGTTCTATGTATGCGGATGTTTGAATGCATTTCTGATATAAAAGTAAATTTGAATGAGTGTGAATAGGGTTCAAATTCCCAAACAATTCGTAATCAAAGTTTATTATTGTGTATCGTGCTCTGCAGAGTGTATGGTGTCTGACGGCCCGCTTAGTTATGCGTGCAAACACTTTCTTAATTAGAATGCGTTTACGTTAATTTAGTGTAAGTGTAAGTGTAAGTGTGTGTGTGTGAGTGTGGGAGTCACTTTAAGTCTACGATCCACGTGTTCCGCCAACATAGTTGCACTGCATCTACGTCTGTATGTGTATTAGAGTCTCCTTTATTCTTATGTCTCTGTAGGAGTGACTGGCGGTGAGCCCGAAGGGGTCGTATTATTCTTTGAATGCCTAAGTTGCATTAGATAGTGCCTCTGCGTCGGTTTATGTAGTGCCAATTGTGTCAACGCATCGTCAATGGAAAACCATTGACGTTTTCGGCCAATGCTACGCGAGTCCTCCCACTCTTCAAGCTCATTGGTGACAGTCATTACAAAGACTTCGGTGCGATGCATATGTTCGCGATTCTATGTAACATACAAAATTTGTTTAATACAACTCAATATTACCAATCTGGCATTTATACTCACCTCGAACACGCCCAAGCATCTGCCCAGCTTGCCAACGACCCCGGCCTCTTCGAGCACTTCACGCACAGCCGTAACCGATGGTTCTTCCTCCGGCTCAACACCACCACCAGGCACGATCCATAGCTCTGGACGACGCGAAGAAGTCACCAAGAGCACCTACATTTATTAAGTAGACATGCAAATATAAATCTTCTAAATTTATGACATTTATTATGACATTGCTATTTCACCTCCGCTTCGGCATCCGAGCGCACGCAAATGCAAGCAGCACGACGGCGAAAGCCATCCTTATCATAAATTCGTGTAGAATTGGGCTTCTCCTTGACCATCTGCAATTAAGCAATATTTTTGTTATTATTATATAAAATTTGTTGTATTAAAAAGAAGAAAATTGCTGGAGTACTAATATAGTATATTTAATAAAAGGAAATGAAATAAATATAACAAAAACTAAGTATATGAAGAAAATTATGTACATAAAATTCTTATCACCATCGATGAAATTGCTGCTGACAAGCACGTTTTTCGCAATCGTTGCTATTGTTTCATTTTAACATTACTTTGTATGTGTATACAGCTGTATGCAGATACATATAGAATTCGGCAGCTCAACATTTATGACAATGATTTGGTAGTCTCTGATAACACCAAGGAAAATTTGGGCATTCGACCATTTATAGGTTTATAATGTAACTGCTACTAAACATGTAGGAGCACATTTGTTTGTGTGAACGAATGTGTTTACTTAGTTATCTTTTATTGCACACCACAACAAGAATCTGGAGCTAAAAGTATTGGCTAGCTGCTATAACTTCTACCGCTTAGACTTTGTTGCGTTTTCCATTTTTCCTAGTAAACAGAATAGTGGTACCAAGCTCAATAACAATATTAAGAATAACAAGTAAAAAAGTCTAAGTTCGGGCGGAACCGAACATTAGATATCCGGCGCAAGTAGCAAATATAGTTTTTTTCACATTTCCGAAAACAACTGCTACATGGTAACCAGGGGTGCATCCCTATTTCAAACATTTTCGATAAACTTATGTATTTTCCAAAATTCCATAATATTACTTTTTTTCAGAGGAATGTTGTTAGTATCAAATTTGTGTAAATTAGCTGTCTTAGATTTCGAAATATCGAAGTTTCAAGCATTTATGAAACTTACCGTTCTATAAAAAGAGGGCGTAACTTTAGTCCGATTTCAATAATTTTGAACGTTCTGCTTTTATGTGGCAAGCACAATAACCACACCGAGTTTGATATATATTGGTCGAACGGTTACCGAGATACATATATGTGATCATAAGTGGGCGGTGCCACGCCCATTTTCCAAAACTTATCATAAACGTATTTTGTGTCAGAGAATTATTGCAAACATCAATTTTGAATAAATTAACTTCGNTGTCTCCATATGGTCCCAAAGGGAGTACTTAGTCAATACCTCTGGAGAATTGCAATGACAAGCACATGTGAGATGTCTATAGCAAATAACATTGTGTGTCGCATATCTTGGAACTACTACTGGTGACAAAGTCAATAGCGAATCGATAAAGTTTCACTGTCGACATTTACTGCAGGGTAGTTATCTTTTATTGCACACCACAACAAGAATCTGGAGCTAAAAGTATTGGTTAGCTGCTATAACTTCTACCGCTTAGACTTTGTTGCTTTTTCCATTTTTCCTAATAAACAGAATGTTAAGAATAACAAGTAAAAAATTCTAAGTTCGGGCGGAGCCGAACATTAGATACCCGGCGCAAGTAGCAAATATAGTTTTTTTCACCTTTCCGAAAACAACCGCTACATGGTAAGCAGGGGTTCATCCCTATTTCAAACATCTTCGATAAACTTATGTATTTTCCGAAATTCCATATTACTTTTTTTAGGGGAAAATTTTATCATAAACGTATTTTGTGCCAGAGAATTATTGCAAACATCAATTTTGAATAAATTATCTTCGGTATTTTCTGATTTGTCGAAGATTTCGTATTTCTCTAAATTGCTATATGGGATGTGGGCGTGGTTATTGTCCGATTTTAAAAATTGGGTATGTTGTACCAAGACTAACAACCATGCCAAGTTTGGGAGAAATTGGTGGAGCGGTACCCAAGATATACACGTGTAATCATAAATGGGCGTGGGTACGCCCATTTTCCAAATATGTATAATATTCTTATTTTTCGCCTAAAAGTGATTGTAAATATCAATTTTGAGTAAATTATCTTCAGTAGTTACTAAAATATTGCAGCTTTCGTATTTCTCCAGACTACCGTTATATGGGAGGTNCTTTTTCCATTTTTCCTAATAAACAGAATGTTAAGAATAACAAGTAAAAAATTCTAAGTTCGGGCGGAGCCGAACATTAGATACCCGGCGCAAGTAGCAAATATAGTTTTTTTCACCTTTCCGAAAACAACCGCTACATGGTAAGCAGGGGTTCATCCCTATTTCAAACATCTTCGATAAACTTATGTATTTTCCGAAATTCCATATTACTTTTTTTAGGGGAAAATTTTATCATAAACGTATTTTGTGCCAGAGAATTATTGCAAACATCAATTTTGAATAAATTATCTTCGGTATTTTCTGATTTGTCGAAGATTTCGTATTTCTCTAAATTGCTATATGGGATGTGGGCGTGGTTATTGTCCGATTTTAAAAATTGGGTATGTTGTACCAAGACCATGCCAAGTTTGGGAGAAATTGGTGGAGCGGTACCCAAGATATACACGTGTAATCATAAATGGGCGTGGCTACGCCCATTTTCCAAATATGTATAATATTCTTATTTTTCGCCTAAAAGTGATTGTAAACATCAATTTTGAGTGAATAAGCTTCAGTAGTTACTAAAATATTGCAGCTTTCGTATTTCTCAAGACTACCGTTATATGGGAGGTAGCCGCGGTTATTGCCCGATTTTGCCCATTTTCAATACCATGCGTCCTACGTTGAAAATAAGTATGCGTACCGACTTTTGTTACGCTACGTCGTTGACTAACTGAGCTTTTATAATACCCTTGTGCAC